ACAATCCTCATTTAGACGAGTAACAAGCAGGCTCTATTTGCTCCCCCTTTTGTAGACGGAGGTGGTGTACGCATTCACCGAATCCAGTACCGCTGCGCTGAGGGACGCTCCAGCACCACACACCTTAATCACAGCACTCGAGTGACTGTGCCCTCTTCACCGGCCCCGGACCAAAAGCTTACTGCCACCACCAACGCCACCGGTCGTCGTCGCAGTGTCCTCGGTGCCGGCACTTTTAACGCCACCAGCACCACAGTCGCAGAGAAGACAGAGGCCTTGCACGCCTCCGAGTCTGTCAACAGTCTGAGCAGCAGCTCGTACACCGGTGTCGAATCCACCACCAGCGGGGGTGAAATGCGAAGACTGATGCAGTACGTAACCTCCAGCGGAAAAAGCCACCAACAGGAGCAACGACACATTTCCAGCAAGGACTTCAGCCTCAGCACCGACAGTGAGACCACTCAGACGAGCAACAGTTTCGACGCCTCCGAGATGACCTCGCCCTCCAGCAGCAACAGTCTGGTACGTGTCGGCGAGCAGAACCTGCCGACGACCACGAAGACGACGACAGTGGAGTCCGAGTTGTCCCGCCAGATGGCAATCCTACGCAGATCACAGTGTTCGGCCAGAACAGTCAAGAATGTCGAAGGTCGAGTCAAACATAGTACGACCGTCTACTCGGAAAGCCTGATCCACTCAATGGAAGAGGAGTGTCAGGTAGGGAGCTTTATGTCTAGCATCTCACGAGCAAAATTGTACAGTAGGGTGGGCAAAACCTTTCTTGGAGTCGTCTTACTATCTATTTCCCTCGCCCAACTGTCTTACTTAAGTGGTGGCTAAACATTTAATTCTCGGTTAACGAGTGTAAATAAATGTATTATTGTGGTGGAAGTGATCAAAGAATACTGAATTAAAGCCATTTTAGCTAAATTTAATAAATACCATCAACATAAACTCCTGTTGATCAGGCAACTGATGCCTACTGATGGAAATTCAAACTTATTTTGCGGAATTTAACGTAAAAACGGAAATTCGACCTTATATTGGCGGACTTTATCGAAAGAAAAGGGAAAACCGGGCTACTGCAAACTGTAAATTAGTTTACTGTCATAAGTCAACGGCAAATGGGACCTCTACAGACAGTCTAACCGTTAAGTGCAGCTGCTACTTCATTATATTGTCCTCTGAATATAAGCAGAACACAGGATCGTGGCACTAAAAACAAGCTTCGCATATACATCAAAATCTGCAGTTGTTACGTCGGTAGCCAGGTGTTGTCACCTGCATGCCGAAGGTATGTCAAGCGTGAGATCGATTTAGTTGCTTCGAGGAGCATCAAGTCGTCCGTTTTAGATGCTCAGAAGCGACCAATGAGCTTGCAAAGACAGTCGTTAACAGCATCGCTGATAGTTTTGCTCAAAAGGAGTGGAATACTGAATAAAAATATAGGGATTTTAGGTATTGCCGACAGAGACAAGGTAGACTGGAATGGCCATTAATGGATCATTAGCCGTCGTCAGCCAGTCATATCCAGAACGCTGTGGTGCACCACCCGATCATCAAACTCGCGACATTGTCGTTAAGAATTTAAGACCCTAAACATTGAGCCACGAGGTCGTTGTCTCGCTGGTTTACGTGGGGGGATATTGACAGTCACCGATGAACCTTCACCTGACCACTTACGGAACTTATCCGTCCGGCTCAGCCTTGGGTCTCGACAGATGCCCTGACAGCCGTAACAGCTGCAGGGTAGGCAGATAGTATTGCCGGCAAAGACGAGGGAGGCTGGAATGCAGCCATTTCTGGCTTATTAGCCGTCGTCAGCCAGTCATACCCAGACTCAAGTGCTGTCCCACCCGAACCTCAAAATCGCGACCATTTTGACCAGATCCACACACCCTGACCATTAAGCAACGAGCTCGTTGTCGCGTTGGTTTAGATCAGGAGATATTGAAACTCATTGGTGAACTTTCACCTGACCACTACTAGAGTTGTCAAGGCCTCTGCCGAGACCCACGGCAGAGCGGGACAAAGGAGTTCCGTTCTTGGTTAGGTGAACGTTTATCAATGGATAAAGGGGTGACTGATTGAGAGGTTAATTACGGTTAACTAAGGAACGGACTTTAATAGCGGTGACAGAAAGCTAAGAAATGTACAGGATTTATGCTTTAAGCGAGTGCGCTAATTTTATGCTTCAGGAGTTGAGGTGAATGTTCGTGTTCCAGATGTATCTATGAGTTCAAAAGAAGAAGGTTTTTAGATCACCGGAACCGTGGCTTTTTTCGCAATGACGCCAGCTCTCAAATTTATGCTCGTTTGACGAGACTCAGCCGCGCATTCAATTTCGACGAGGTTGAAATTCTCGAGGGAGGTGAAAATCGCGTGGACAGCGATCTGCTTAAACCGTACTTTACGGACCTGCAGTCTACCAAGTGCAATGACCTCCCCGTCCCATTCCCGATGTCGAGAATTAATTAATTAATATAATTAAATTAATTCACCACTCGGAGATAGCGCATGCGAGTACTGGCTCCAACGCTAGTTTCGTTGATCGCGATGGCCCAGACGATAATATCTGGCACAGGTAATTACATTTGGGAGATTAATGACTTGAAGGCCGCTTATTAATTCTTTATCGCACCAAAGGGCAAATTGTCCTGGATGAATTGAGTAGCTGTTTATTGACCTAGGTAGGAACTGTCATAGCGACTGCATCCCACAAATACGGAAATTCCTTCTGCACTTATTATCCAAGTCTGATGCTCACTCGGATGATGCTTTCGAGCATGAATCCGAAACTTCCGCTGAATAACGTTCTAATCCTAGCGACCGCGTCTCAATTATTGCCATTTAATCTCAAATTTTTAAATATTTTACTTACCACTGATATTATATAATCTCTGATATTTTTGGTTATCATAAGTCCTGCCCATGAAACTGGGCTACTATAGAGTCGAAGCATTAACGAATGCTCTCGGAATCCCCTAGCGACGTTTAACAACCCCCTGAGCCCAAGTCCATCTCGCGTTGAATTCAAAACCATTTGCGCTAGCTCCTATCATCCCAATCTGTATACATAAGCGAGGTGATGCCTCCGGTTAACATACAGGGTTTTTCATTTGTTGCAATGTACTTTTCGGGAGGTTGCGCTCGATGGCAGCTGTCTCGGGGGCGGGCTATGGGTTTCCGCTCTCAAGTAGCAAGTGAGCGTGTTCACTTATCTAGGCGCCAGAAGTGCACAAAGTCCTTTTCGGAGCGGAGAAGAGGAGCCGAGGGCGTGGATGACAGGACGCACACACAGACGCTAACCCATCGTCACGAGGCCTGGGTCTGGGCGCATGCACCA